GTGTAGTAATGAATCCATGTTTCATCAAGGGTTACTACTCGACGCAAACTCTTTCGGATTGCGCTTGAACAGCTCCAAACATTGCTTTGAAATTGATAGCCGCATTCGCTTGTTTTTCAATCGTTTCTCAAGATTGTGAGCAATCGTAGTACCCATTGGGCCGACAGCTTTTTCATTCCTAAATTATCATGCAAAATATTGAATGCCGTTCCATACGACACGCCTATGGCCTCTGCTATTTCATGCACTTTCGTTCGGCGATCAGCGAGAATCATGTCGTGGATTTTTTCAACGATTTTCTCAGTAACCACGTCTGCGGCCTGGGCGCTCCTCATCAAAAACAGACGAACGACCATGTTTGAATTCACTCTTTCGGATTGCGCTTGAACAGCTCCAAACATTGCTTTGAAATTGATAGCCGCATTCGCTTGTTTTTCAATCGTTTCTCAAGATTGTGAGCAATCGTAGTACCCATTGGGCCGACAGCTTTTTCATTCCTAAATTATCATGCAAAATATTGAATGCCGTTCCATACGACACGCCTATGGCCTCTGCTATTTCATGCACTTTCGTTCGGCGATCAGCGAGAATCATGTCGTGGATTTTTTCAACGATTTTCTCAGTAACCACGTCTGCGGCCTGGGCGCTCCTCATCAAAAACAGACGAACGACCATGTTTGAATTCGTTGAACCAATATCTGACGGTTATCATAGATGGTGAAGGGTTCCCATAGACGGCATCCAACTTCGTTTTTATTTCTTCGTTTTTTTATCCAAAAATAAAAAGCGAATCACGGATCGATATTGTTCTTTTTCCATTATATCGGAAAACATCAAACACTCTCACTACGAATTGCTGTCATAACAAGACTATTACATGAATCACTCTGAAATTTTGTATGGCGTCATTTGAAAGATGGTAGTACGCGATGGTAATGCCAACTTGCATCAGCAACGTCACCTGTCTTCAAACACGGGTACTTATTGATTTGAAAAATTATAATTATTATATTAACATATAATTTAAGTATAAATACGCTTAAGATGGATTTTTACGCAAGCTTTTAAAATAGGAAGATTTATGACAAAGCTGCAAATCAGGATGAAACTCAGCCGAGTTGGCCATCTCTACATATTATCCACAAAAATATCTTATAAATGAAAATGTTATTCTGTATTCAGAATTCCGAACAGTTACATTTTGCATAAAAAATTATTACATGATATATAATTTTATTATGTGTTATTATTTCATTACATGTATTATAGATATAATCACATTATCTTATATTAATTTTTAATGTTAAATTCGCGTAAAAGATGTAAATAAGTTTACCAAATAAATTTATCTAATTAGTTTACTCTTTTAAACTTATCCTAATCTTGTGATATCCAATTGGTATTTTTTCGCGACACACACGTTTCTTGATTTCACCACATATACTTCGATTCTATATGACGTTAACAGCTGTCAAAGTCCCGCTCGTTACACGCATCGATAAATAGTGAATCGCACTCTAAAAATTTTTGCGTATTTAAAAAATTATCGAAAAATGTGTCGCTATATTTCTGCCCATGAACATACAGGATGTTTGGAATTTAAATATCAAAATTTCGGGAGCGTGTAGGGGATCGATAAACTAAGCAAAAAGGTC